AAGAGCATGTTACAGAATTTATACTTAAATTCTCTAAGAAGTTAAGCAATAGGATTTATCCCCAAACTTTATGAAGCAGCTTTCTCAAATAAAATGTTAGTAAAATGAATCACTGAAAAGTTATATTCTTTTCTGAGACAGAGTCTTAAGCTGTCACCCTGGGTAGAGTGCTGTGGTGTCACAGCTCACAGCAATCTCAAACTCTTGGGCTTAAGTGATTCTCTTGCCTCAGCCTCCCAAGCAGCTGGAGTACAGGTGCCTGCCACAACATCTGGCTACTTTTTGGTTGTAGTTGTCATTGTTGTTTGGCAAGCCTGGGCTGGATTTGAACCCACCAGCTCCGGTGTAAGTGGCTGGCGCCCTAGCTGCTGAGCTACAGGCACCAAGTCAAAAGTTATATTTTCTTATTAACAAATATACCAATAGCCATTTCAGACTGCGAATGTGGACTGTTTTCTATTATATACAAGAAAATTAGACTCACTAACAAGAAATTTCTTGCAATACAAAAAGATAACAAATAATTAAAATATTTGTTTTATCATACAACCAAGCCATATAATTCACTTCCTAAAGTGTCTGAAATGATTAGAAATTGTGGCACTTTCTTTTGTATAAAACCCTTTCCTCTTCATAAAACCCTGAGGTGAAAGGTTATTAATATAATAGAACTGGAACCACAATTCTTCTCATTTCTATATTAAATTGTAACTAGGTTTTTAAAAATTTATAAAGAAATGTGTCAACTTCTAAAGCAGCTCTGTACAGTTTTCAACAAAATTATTTCCAGATCAACTGAGTCAAAGGGCCTAAAATGATCTTATTAAAAAAAGTGTCTTGGGCTGTGCCTATGGCTCAGTGGGTAGGGCACCAGCCCAATATACCGAGGGTGGCGGGTTCAAACCCAGCCCTAGCCAAACTGCAACAAAAAAATAGCCAGGCATTGTAGAGGGTGCCTGTAGTCCCAGCTACTTGGAAGGCTGAGTCAAGAGAATTGCCTAAGCCCAGGAGTTGGAAGTTGCTGTGAGCTGTGACACCATGGCACTCTACTGAGGGTGATTTAAAAAAAATGTCTTTTGAACACTCATTAGTATCAAGATGAGCACCATTTTCCACCTCTACTACTATCTCTTCTGTTACCATAGTCATGGCTCCAGCTAGTGTGATTTCTTCATAGAAGAAATCATCTCTGTTTCCTAGTCTATAATGATGGTCAGACCCATGATCACTGTAACGCTGTTCCTGGCTATAATGTCTAACTGCTAGGTAGGGATGAGAATTCTGTCGGCCTTTACCCTGTGATGCTGGTGTATCTTGGCACCACTGAGAGCTTGAAGACTGGTTAAAAGTATGATGTGATTGAACTGATGGTGAAAATCCTGATTGATCCAGAGGTGGAGAACCAAATTTTCCACCATAGGACATCTGTCTCAAAACACTATTCATCACTGCTTATCTCTGAAAACTTCCTGGAGAAGAGAAAGACCTCTGAATTATCTGTGATGGTGGAGTCATGTCCACAGTCCTTTCATATCTGCCGGTGGAAAAGCTGGAAAAGGAGCTCCTCTGTCACTTTAGTTTCAAGGTTGCCCACAGGGAGCGTGCAGTCCGCTTCCGCTGCCACACCCCCATCTCAGCATTTCCCCCTCCCTAGCCTGGCCCCAACTTCATCTTTTTAAGAGTTATTTTGGCTATTCTAGGTTTTCCATATTTTCATGGGAACTTTAGAATCTGCTTGCCAATGTATATATATTTTAAAAAAGAATGTGACAGTGATAGAGTCAAGTCTATAGATCAATTAGAGAGAATGATCATCTTAACAATATTGAGCCTTCCAAGCCATGAACACAGTATCTCCCTATTTGCTAATATTTAGGTTGTCTTTAATTCTCTCCGCAATGCTTGACAGTTTTCAGTGTGTAAGTATTTCACATTGTTAGATTTTTCATAAATATTTCATTCTATGCTATTTATTGTGAATGATACTGCTTTTAATTTGACTTTTCAATTGTTTGTTATTAGTATATAGAAATACAGTTGAGTTTTGTACATTGATCTTGTATCCTACAACCCTGCTAAACTCATTTATTAGTTTTAGTAGTTTGTTTTTTGTTTGTTTTGAGACAGAGTCTTGCTGTCTCCCTGGCTGGAGTGCTCCAGTATGATCATAACTCACAGCAACCTCAAACTCCTGGGCTCAAGTGATCTTCCTGCCTCAGCCTTCCCAGTAGCTGGACTACTTATTCAAAATGCAATACCTACTACTGTATTTAAACATTGTTGTATTATTTTTATGACTGAACTTAAATATTGTTGTATTATTTTTATTTTGTTAAAATATTTTCCTTCCTCTTGCATGCACACATGTGTGCATATATACACACATAGTCACAAATTCAGAGATCCTAGAACTAGAACTGGAATGGAATAACACATCCAACTATAATGCTGCATCCTTGAACAGATTTTATTGTTCAATAAAGCACTTTCAAAACTGAGTTATTTTATCTTTCCTTGTCTGACCTTGTAAGCTACTTAATTATAGAACGCGTTTTTATTCACAGTGCCTTTTAATATTTTATTCTTTATGCCAAGTCATGCTCTCAGTGTAAACAAAACAGACAGCAAAATCTTTGATGGAGTGAAAGAAATATAGGTATTTCTACTATAATGCTGTGTATAGGTGCTCCTCTTTTAACAGCATATATAAATGCTTGATAAACCTTGCATTCTGCAAAACTGTTTATAAAAATAATGGGTTGTGGGAAAAAATAGAAGGTTATGACACTCAAAACATTTAGCTTTGTAACCAGAGTACTCATAAAATAATAATTATTCCAGCTAAACCACTATCATTCAGTATATGTCCACTATTATTTGGACCCAGGATCACAATTGATTTCTATACTTTTAAATCTCAAAATACAGATTCATGAGGGCATTCATCTATAATAGATAATATGGTCATCAAAATTAAAAATCTGCTGTGGATCTGTGCTTTCTGCAACAATCAATGGAAGTTTTTAAATATAAGGCAAATGTCTTTTCTGTTTCTTCGTCTATTCTTACAGCTTTATGTTAAAAGGAGGACACTAGTTCTTAGAGACATTAAATCAGCCACCACTTGCCCTCAGAGAAGGAACTGCTATAGTACTCTTAGCTTAAGACTTCCTTTTTCAACTGGAGAAAGCTTGCCTCTGAATGCTTTAAACCATTGATTTACTGAAGAAAAGTTACATATAAAACAATGACATATTTTCTTAAACCAACTATCACCAATTGAATATCAATTTGCATTATAGAAATGTGTTGCAGCTGAATGTACTCCATAGTTCTCTAACCTTGAAATGATGATTTTCCTAGTAATGTTCTTTTTTTTTTTTCTTTTTTAAGACAGTCTCAAGCTGTCACAGTGGGTAGAGTGCTGTGGCGTCACAGCTCACAGCAACCTCAAACTCTTGGGCTTAAGTGATTCTCTTGCCTCAGCCTCCCAAGTGGCTGGGACTACAGGCATCCGCCATAACGCCCAGCTATTTTTTTGTTGTTGCAGTTGTCATTGTTGTTTTAGCTGGCCCAGGCTGGGTTTGAACCTGCCAGCCTCAGTGTATGTGGCTGGCGCCCTACCCACTGAGCTATGAGCACTGCCCCATAATGTTCTTGACAGTAGCCACAGTTAGGATTTAAATCTCCTTCCTCCTATTCTCACTGAATGCACATTTACTGAACTCCTATTGTGTTCCAGAGTCTGTTCTAAATGCTGGAAACAGTGGAGAGCACAATAGGGCAGACAAGGTCCCTGTGTTCACAGACTTAACATTCTGAGGGGGGATGCGAATGACCAAGAAGTAAATCAATAAATATGGTAGTATCAGATTATACTTGATATACAGGGTGATAGAATGTGAAGTGAATGAGGAGATTGACTCTGGGTAGTGAGGCTACTTCTCTGAAGAGATGGTGCTGGAGCCAACACCCGTAAGATGAAAAGGAACTAGGCCTGGGAAGACCTGGGGAGACTGTCAGAGAGAAGAACAGGCATGGTAAGTATAAAGGCCTCTAGTTGGGAGTGAGCTTAGTGAGTTTGCAGAATAGCATGTAAGGTGGCGGGGGCAGCCTCTGGGTACACTCCAGTTGGAGTGCCACATGTCACCACTATGCTGAGGCTGACTCAGCAACCAAGTCACTGCTGTTCAACAACTGCATGTCCTCCATGCCTAAAATGGCACTCCCAAATGCTACTGACCAATCCACATCTGAGTGCCTAACCCATAGGCAATGGAGCACAACATGCTTTGTCACCACTCACCATAAGGCTGGAGTGGGCTGGATGTGTTTGAACGGTCTGAGAAAGTTGTTCCATCCAGCGAGTCAGTGGTGGGCCAAGAAGAGAGGGTAGAAACAGGGCTCATCAGGAGGCAGCCCACAAGCTGGGCAGGAAGAGGGCGGGGTGCTGGGGTAGGGGATGGGCCCTGAGAGGAGGATAAAATTACAGCCAAGGCATGAGTCTATAAATCTCTTTGGAAAAAGGTCACCTGGATTCACCTACTTTCTAGCCTCCAGAATTTTCTAGCAAATAGCCAGGCAGTAGAGATTCATTGTTTTTGCAGAATCTTTAATACCCCTGACTGGTTCCGTTGTGCTGTCTACAAACTTTTATGTTGCTTTGGTATCTTTCTCTACATGTCTTCATTTTTTAATACAAATGCTTCATCATCTCAGAAGGACTATATCTCCTTTTGGGGGAGAGACTTTCTTCATCTTCTTCTTCGGATTTCCTCCCAGTAGCTAGCCCAATACTGGGTTAGATCTTTCTGCTTCACAAGAGGGAACTTTACTGCAAGGCCAGACTATTTCAGGGGGAATTTCTCATGTAGCTTAATACCATGGTGAGAGACAAGCTTTGCTGACAGCAGCTAGCAGCTTGTAGTGCCAGATGATACCAGCAGTCTGGGTTTCAGACTGGCTATGGGCAGTGAGAAACCGGGCATGGGGCTGCTTACCTGTTCTTCCTGCAGCGAATTGTGAAGGCGAGAAAAAAAAGCATCAGTAGAAGTCCACAGCTGAGAAATGTCCAAACAATACCCAAGAGGACAGGAGATAATGAAGAGATGGTCTTACTGCTATGGTGGGAAGATGTCTGAGGACAGAATAAAGGGAAGTTGTTTGGAATGAAGGATTTTCCAATAGATCAAACAGGAACTGCCCCATCATCATCAAAGCTGGGAAATACATGTCCTGCTTGAGCAGTCCCTTCTCCTCCTCCTCCACCTCTTCCTCCCACTACAGCGACCACCACCACGTATGTCTGAGCAGTCCTGATACCCCATGGCTGCTTACTTACAATGGTTGTCTTGCAGAGATCATGAATGGGTCTTTGATCCAGCTCCTGGCTAGGAAAACTGTCACAAAATTCAGAGCAGTTTATTTCAGGCTCCATGTCACCACATGCCCCTCTTGGTGTGTGCTTATTCACAGTCTTGGTTATCCCCAAGTAGAGATGCAGATCTTGGACTAAAACACAAGAGCAACTCAAATCTTTTCTTCAGAGGCCTCATTTTGGATTGGTTCCTGGTTCAGAATTCAGAATGAACAACTCATCCAGGGGAAGGCAAAGGATTATTTCAGTAGGCTTCTTCATCAGACACCCTCCAGCATCCTTCAACTGGCCCCCCACCGCCAGTGCATACAACATGAGCAAGGAGTGGGCATCTTAGTAGCCATCAGGTTACACAAAGTGATGATTCTGGCTTACCACCAGATGGCAGTCACTGCTCCAAAGACTCCACATGGGTTCCTGAAAAAAAGGAAACAATAAAAACTGTTAAATAAATACACAGCCACACAAATGGTTTGTTACAGATGTTTTAAAATATTTTATACATTTTAATTATATACATTGTTATATATTACAAAGGTTTTAAATATTATATGTTTAAATAAAATATTTTAAGCCATTGTAATAATATGTTAAAAACAAAAATAAAGCATATCTAAAAATTACCAGGTAAAAACTCTGAAGTCTCCCTCTTCAACTCCTTTTTATGTCTGAACACTGTAAAAGCCTTAGATGCTTCCTTTCCCCCCTACTAGCAAACTCCCTAACCTTCCAAGAGCTCTCCATGCAGCTATGGCATAAGCTCTGTGTGATCCTGGGTGGCATGACCTCAGGTGCCTTGTACTGTCTCCATACACGGTCTGTCAGTCACTCTAGCTCTTGTTCTCTCAGTAAGTAGAGGAACATTCTATGTCTAATTAACTGGGGTCACAGTCAAGCCCTTTGCAAGAGTTTTTGTTGTTTGTTTTTAAAAGAGGTGACATAGGCTACTTTTGGGCAATAGGGAAAAACATTGAGGAGCTCTGGAAATTCCCACAGAGAGAGTGAGTGGCCAGAGAATGGTGTTTTTCTCAGAAGATGCTTGCAATATGAATATTGTGTTTAAAAAGAAGCTCAGTCTTGTAGAGCAAAGGTAGAAAAACACAAAGGCTCAAATTAGCACCAGTAGAAAAGAGACATATCCTACTTCTTTAAGGTAATCAATCCCTTAATAGAGAAAATAGATTAGAAATGTTACCAGTGGCAATTTAAAAGAGGATCCCACTTCTGCCTTGTGCTTTTGAAACAGCTTAGCACAGTTTTCTGTGATGATGGAGGAAAATTGGACAAGGCAAAAAGTATAAATTACTATTATTTCAGTAGCCACCAAAATTGGGCCCATATTTAAGCTAGAACAATAGTGACAGGTGTAGAATGCCATCTTTGGATTCTGTGTGCTTAGGCACAAACAATACAGCACCAGGTGCCGCCCATTCACTGGCCTCTCAGATGTTCCTGAATTATTTACCAGGTTCATTACAATGAAATCCCCAGACATCTAAAAGCCACTATCTCCTGTCAAGACATTTACATTCTTGCATAGACCGGTCAGATTACTGAATGCAAAATTAAGGAGCAAATATAAAAACCTATTTGCCATATTCATGATCTATGTGTATCTGACTTATTAAATATTAAAAAAATAAAACAAACAAAAATAAAGATCTTGAAAAATGTTCAAAAAAACCTATTTGCATTCTAATTTGGTTGAGATTTTAATTGATAAAAAGAATTTTTTTTCCTTTTAAAAAAGTTACATTTCCTATTATGCCTTCTAGCATATCACAAACCACAGGGAGGCCTATACTACATGAAGGATTGGAAGAAGATGTATTTTTCCTGTTTTGCCTTGTAATTGTATTGGCAAATGAGTACGCTTACATTTGAACCATTATTAATTTCATGTTTATATATCCTGATAGGGAAGAAATATGTATGTACATGTATTGATGTGTATATGTATATATAAAAAATCTCATTTTATTCTCACTATAGGAGTGTTATGTGACATAACAAGCATCGTTCCTCATTTTCAAATAAGGAAACTAAAGAGCAAGAAGTGGAGAACCCTGCTTGAAATCTGCAAAGGCAGGAATCTAGGAATTTACATTCCAAGGTCAATATCCTCCCAGTATATACTCCACATGGAGGAGACACAGGACTGACTTCTCCCACGAAGACATTAATGGTCTGTTGGGTTTCTCCAGCTTTAGGTCTAGGGCTGTGCTTCTGTGTGTTCCCTAGAGTATGGCATACTATAGCATATCTATGCCAGTGGTTTTCAACCACAGAATTTTGCACCATCAGGGGACATTTGGAAATGTCTGGAGACATTTGTGGTTGTCAAAATTGGGAAAAGGGTGCTATTCATATCCAGCAGATAAAGGCCAGGGGTGCTGTTAAATATCCTACAATTCACAAGGTGGTCCAAACAACAAAGAATTATCTGGCTCCCCAGTGTCAGTAGTTCTAGAGTTAAGAAATTCTGGCCAATAGTGGCAGGCACCTGTAGTCTGAGCTACTCAGGAGGCCAAGGCAAGAGAATCACTTAAGCCCAAGAATTCAAGGTTGCTGTGAGCTGTGACGCCATGGCATTCTACCAAGGGTGACATAGTGAGACTCTGTCTCAAGAAAAACAAAAAGAAACTCCGGTCAACACTGTGGATTCCAAAAGAGCTAACATAATCATAAGCTCAAATAATCTTTGAGAAATTTTGTGAACACGATGGGCCTGTTCATCTGAAAGTCCCAGGGAAGGCAACTCTGACTTGGGATAAATGTCTGACTATATTCTAAATGTCCCCTTGAATACTGAACTCAATGTCATGGAACTTTGAATGCCAGGCTCCCCATTAGTCCATGCACATCCAGTATAGAAACTTTATATACCATGACATAGGGCCCCCACATAGATCAAGCATTTAACTCCCAAGTTGGCAAACATTCAGAGATTCACGTGTGAGAATATGGTAAATAGCAATGACTCAGTTATTGACAGCAAAGAGTTAAATAGTTTTGAAAATTCTTGAGTGATTGGGAAAATAGGTGGAGAGTAGTCAGAGGGGGTAATGGTGACAGACACAGAATCCAAAGCACAAAGAGAAGGGTCTGCCAGGGCCTTCCAAAAGCAACCCTTCCGTCAGGTCCCCACATACAAAGTTTCTCAGGGTAAACTGTTCATGTCATAGAAAGTAGTGGACCCAAATTTATGCATGGTAATGACTGCAATTTGTTTGATAGAGATTATAAAATCCTGCCCAGTGATTAGGACCAGGCAAAAAAAAAAAAAAAAAAAAAACATGAAACTGCTATACTGTTTCCAAGTGTAAGATGGTAATTTATAGATTCATAACTCTCAACAGCCCTATTCCTCCCCCCCCAAAATCTCCCCTTTTATTCTGCATGTTATTTCTGGACATGGAAAAACTAAGCATACCACTACTGTCTTTTAACAAGTTTTGTTGTAATTAATAGAACTTTTGCTTTTGTCCATGAGGAATTAACGGCTATAGGAATTGCTTTCTCCTGTAAACAACATGAAAACCAGACAAAACATATGGAACAAGTCTTTTTAGGCATTGGATAACACATACCATAGGAATATGGTTTCTAAGAGATATTGCCTAGAAGTAGTTTCCAGGCCATAGAACCTGGAGGGAGAAACAGACAGAAACTTAAAATCTTCCTGAGATAAGGAGAATAGATTGGAGTTTGGGGAAGTTGAGGTGGCTAGATTTTTGTGGGGCAGAGTATAGACAAGAGAGATACAGGAGGCACTTTGAAAATCTGCAGGAGATTCCCTCAGTCTTTTACTGAGTACAAATATGGGCATGACTAAGAGGTAATTACTTGAAGTTGAAGAAATAACCACTGGTAGGCAGTAGCTGAATAATTTCCAGAGCTCTTAAGGAGCTGAGACTACTCTGTGTTCCCCTCAGCCAGAGTTGAGAGACCTCACAATAAACAAGACAATGTATAGAATTCTTAGAAAAACTAAGTCTTGTATGTGAAACTAAATTACCTCAACAATAGAGCCTATTCTGGATCTGCTTACATATTACTTAAAAGAAAATCTCAAAAGAACCAAGTGATCCACAAACAACAACATACAATTCAAAATGTCCAATATCCAATAAAAAATTATCAGGCATTCAATACACAACAAAAAAATGATGCATAACCAAAAATAAAAAAAAAAGATCAATAAAAATAAACACAGAAATAACAGAAATAACTATCACGCAGGACCCTGAGACAACTATTATAAACACGCTCCAGGATATAAAGCAAAACATTAATAAAATGAGGAGAGAAATTAAAGATATAAAGAAGACCCAAATAGAACTACCAGAAATAAGAATAATAAGAATACAATACCTAAAATAAAAAATATATCAGATTAGAAATATTGGTCAATTTAAAGATGTGGCAATAGAAAGTATCCAAAAGGAACTACAGAGAGAAAAATGACTAATAAAAATAAATATAGCCTCAGTAAACTTAGAACAATAGCAAGTGGCCTAACATATATGTAATAGGTGTTCCAGGGGGAAAAGAGCAGGAGGAGTAGAAAAAATACTTGAAAAAAGTAATGATCAAGGCTGTGCCTGTGGCTCAAGGAGTAGGGCACTGGCCCCATATACTGAAGGTGGTGGGTTCAAACCCAGGCTTGGCCAAAAAAAAAGACCAAATTTTTTCCATGTATGTTGAAAAGTATAAACTCACAAATGAAAGAAGCTCAACCTGTGCCCAGCAGAATAAACACTAAAAAACATAAAAGAAAGGCACATAATAATGACATTCCTAAAATGCAGAAATAAAGATAAAATTTTAGGAGCAGATTATGTACAGAGGAATAACAAAAACACTTACAACAGATTTTCCATCAAAATCTATGCAAACCAGAAGAGAATGGAATGATATCTTTCAAGTGGTACCAAAAAAAAAAGTCAACCCAAAATATAGTACCTACTAAAAATGTTTTTCAGAAATGCAGGTAAAATAAAGACATTCTCAGAAAAAATTTGAGTAATGCACCATAAAGAAATGTTAGAGGAAGGGCTTCAGGAAGAAATAAAATGATACCAGATGAAAATTTTGATCCATACAAAGGAATGAAGATTGTTCAAAATTGTATATATGAGTAAATATAAAAACTGTTTTTGTTATTTTTTTTAAAGCTATGCTTATAAACATGTACTTATTGGAAAATAACACATATACTGAATTCTCCTTTACATGCACAGCACCTATATTCTTTCATTTCTCACACACTATTGCCTTGCTTTCATTGCCAGTTGAGCTGCACCCTGCACTACCAACAAAAAACCAAATCACAACAGAGTTCTGGAGCTAGGAAGTGATGGGATGAATATATAAGGGTATAATAAATATATATTTGTGCAGAATTCCATGGTGAC